ATCAGGTACACCCGTCAGGGCGCTTACCGTCGTGCGCCGCGATGCCCGACGGTTCCTTTAAAACCGGAATTGAGGCCTTGGAGAAAAGTCGGCACACAAAATCGTTTATGGCTGAATGTCGCTGCTGGCGACCTCCGCCCAAACGACAAACAAGACCATGATGGCCAAGTTCATCCGCCTCCGCGCCGCACCTGCATGTATATCGACTCTGAACGGCCAACCCCAGACGGAAGCCAATGGCTGTCCTGACCGTTTCGTCGTCCAATCTGGTACCCACCGACGTATTGGGCAAAGATCTCAGCCAGCCGCAACTCGCCTCGCTGGAAACTGCCAGCAAGCGAGCTGAGGTCGCCGAGTCAGGGCTTGAGGAAAGCAACTCTTTGAATGTGCGTTTATATGCTTCCTCCAAAATGTTGCCCTGGGAAAGGTCTGTTGGTTGGATTGGAGTCGGTGGGGTACAGTGCAGGCTACTAAATTGCCGAAGAAGGGCAGACTGTAGGTCAAGCGTGGCAGATGCGGAAGATTTATAAACAATTGGTGCAAGCTGAACCACGCTTAGTAACCCCAGTCCCCTAAATCGTACCGGCAGCTGAGCCTGAGACCAACCCTTGTCGGTAATATTGACGTTACATATTTATGTATTTATGTATGTATGTATGTATGCATGCACTTATGTATGTGTGTTTATGTATATATGTATGTATGTGTGTGTTTATGCGTGTGTGTGTGTGTGTGTGTTTATGCATGCATGCGTTTATCTATAATGTATGTATGCATATATACATTTCAATCAATATATCGACCAATTTCAATTTAATGTCTGTCTGGTTTCAAATCTTTTAAGCAAAAAATAATAATAATACGAATAATTATAAAATAATAATAATATTATTATTATAATCATTATTGTTAGTATTGATAGTCGTAGTAGTAAGAGTATTCATTTTTATTATGGCTGCTAATCGATTCGCATCACATTCAGGTTAGTAATTGGTTTAAGAACAGAAGGCAGAGAGATCGCGCTGCCGAAAGTAAGAACGGATCTATCTCTAAGTGAGTGTATGTGTGTATGTGTGTGTGTATGTGTGTGTGTGTGTGTGTGTATGTGTGTGTTATGTATGTGACATGTGTACACACTTGGCACACGGACATCACATCATGATGAAATGTTTTCAGATGTCTAGAAAACAAAAACAGCAACAACAACAATATCAATAATAACCACAACAACAACAACAACAACGACGACAACAACAATAATAACAACAACAATAAAAATATCAATAACAAAAACCTGATCGAGTCTATCGCAATAAACCGTAATAATAATAATAATAATAATAATAATAATAATAATAATAATAATAGCAACAACAACAACAACTTTAACAACGATGATGATAACGAAAATGAGGACGACGACGACTTCGACGACGACGATGACGATTATGACGTCACATCTACCTCAATCCCTTCTAACTCGCGAGCTGATTGGCTGGCTAATTCCCTGGTCACGCCTACAAGACATCATTTCGACCAATGGCGTTGGCCGATTTTTAATCTTGGTCAGAATGTGGGCGGAACCTTTGGTTCGAATAATAATAACAACACAAATAATAATAATAATAATAATAATAATAATAATAATAATAATATGGAAATAATTGTCAATGTTGACGATGATGAAGATATTGAAGATAGCATTGCCAAGAACGAAAACAGTCGAATCTGCAGTAAAATGAACTTTCTCTTTAGAGATACAACTACTATTACTTTTACTACTACTACTACTACTACTACTACTAAAACTACTACTGCTGCTGTCGTTGCTGCTGTTGTTACTGCTACTACTACTGCTGCTGCTACTACTACTACTACTACAGATTTGTATTTATGATGGTCGATTTCAGTGAATGATTGACAGAGCGAAACAAACGAATGAATGAATGAATGAATGGACGAATTATTTAACAAATGAATGAATAAATGAATGAAAAATCGAATTAATTCACAAACATTTGATCCGACTATCAATATATGTGACATGAACAGTATTTGAAATATAGTATTATTATTATTATTTTTATATATATATAGTTTTTGATTATATATATATAGAAAGAGGGAGAGAGAGAGAGAAAGAGAGAGAGAGAGAAAGAGAGAGAGAGAGAGAAAGACAGATAAAAAAAATTCGTTGAATAAAATTTGATAATGATTTATTAACGGTCTTGTCTTTAATAAAAATCTGTTCATCTCTAATGATGATGACGATTGTGATCGTGATGAATGAATAAATGAATGAATGAACAAATGAATGAATGAATGAATGAATGAATGAATGAATGAATGAATGAATGAACGAACGAACGATCGATCGACCAAACAAAACAAGAAATTAAGTTGAAACTGAATAAAGTAATTACGACATAATGAATTAAATAATGAATGAACAAACGAACGAACGAAGAACAAACGAATAAATGAATGAACGAACGGGTGAATGAAGGAAGGAACGAACGAATGAATGAACAAATGAATGAAACAAATTTGTGCACAGTGTAACACATGCTACATACAGCAAGCGCAGACAGGCCAGCGATATAGAATAAATAATACATCATCGTCAGACTCTATCTTCATTGGCATATTCATGGTTTCATCATATGGCTAGCCAATACTACTACTAATTTCATTGATCATCATCGTCATCATCATCGTATTGTCATCATCATCATCATCGTTGTCGTAGTCAACAACAATTTGATAATTAGTATCATTATAAATATCTGTCTTATCACCAATAGTATTCAAATTAATACCATCATCATCATCTTCACAATCACCATGAACAACAATGACATCGTAATCGTCATCATCATTGTAACCAAAAACAACAAAAACATCACCAACCTTCATCACATGACGTGAGGGGACCATAGAGAAAACAACATTGAGAAGAAAAAACAGCTAAAAATAAACAAAGTGACAAACGACTCCATGACTTCCGGTCGGCGGACTTCCGGTTACAACATGACGCAAACACCTGAACAGGATGGCGATGATGGGGATGACGAATATACACATCATCATCATGGACACCACCATCATCATCTTCATCATAATAACATCTTTACGGCCAACCTGGACGGCCAAAATCATCATGATTAAAATGATACCGTAACAATCGTCGTCATCGTCATCATCACCGCGGCGACGTCATCATCGGCATTGACCAACGGCAGAGCTGGAAACATGACACGTGATGAACCTACGTCATCAATCAAAATGGCGGAACAAATGGACGAATCAGGCGTGTCGTAATAATCTTTTCCGGCCGGCGACGGCGATGATGATGATGACGATGGTAGTGGTGATGATGATGATAATGATTGTGATGATGATGATAATGATTGTGATGATGATGATAATGATTGCGATGATGATCTCTTATTACGCTTTCGGCCAATTCATTCATTTATTCATTCATTCATCCATTCATTCGCTCGTTTTGTTTGGTCTCTCAGTTAATCGCGCTTCAACATAAGGCAATCAAACCATCATCACCATCATCATCACCGCAGTATTAAAACCTTCATCATCGACATCTTCATCATCATCACCACAGTATTAAAATCTTCACCATCATCATTATCGCCACACAAAGAGATGCATACAAACACACGCACACACAAACTGACACACATAAACAAATACACACAAACAATAATAATACCCAATTTTAAAAATAAATATATTTTAATTCGACATTACAACTCATTCATTCAATCCTTTGTTCGTTCGTTCATCCATTCAATGTTGTATTAACTCATTTCTACATTCACCCTTCATTTACTCATTCATTCTTTCAATCAATCATTCATTCATTCAGTCATCATTCAAATAAGTAATTTATTATTACAGCGTGTATAGGTGATATCTCTGGTTAGCACTTATGCGTGTATTGTGTTACAACATTATATTTATACGTGTATGTGTGTGTGTATGTGCGTGTGTGTGTGTGTGCAATTGTGTTCGAAGTTGATATATGTGCGTCAATATGGAACATTTCGTGAGTTGGACGGTGCGCTATCATTATTATTGTGGAAGTATGTGTGTGTTTGTTGTTGTGTGGGAGTTTGAATGTATGCGGGGAAGTTTGTGTGGGAGTTTGTATGTTTGTGAGTGTGTGTTTGTGTGGAAGTTTGTATAATTGTGAGTGTGTGTATGTGTGGGTATGTGTGTGTGTGTGTGTAAGCGTATTTGTATGTGTATATTGTATATGAACCTTAGCTTCATTCTTGTCACGGAGTCTCGAGACCATAGAAACACGAAAAGAAGTCATTTCAACATGCGTTCAATCCCATGTTAAACAATCTTTCGTATCTTCTGTGTTATATGTTAACTACATAATGAAGTGCTAGAGAGAGTGCTAGGGATTGCTGGTATTGCTTCATTTAAAGCCGGCATTGTGACTGAACAGTTGTTGGGTATTGTTAACAGGCCCGAGTAGTAGTAGTAGTAGTAGTATTAGTAGAAGCAACAGCAGTAATAACAATAGCACGTAGACACATACACACACACACACACTCACATCCTTAATGCTAAACGAGCAACTAATTTAAAAAAATTCAAAGTTTTTGATTCAATTCAAAAGTTAAGTAATTTAATTAATCAAATAAATAATCAATCAATCAATTAAAATTAATCAATCGATCAATTAAAATCAATCGGTCAATCAATCAAAAGTCACGAATTGCAGCCATTTTAAATAACAACAACAAAGTAATAACAATAACAACACCGAATATAACAACAATAGTTTATAAATAAATAACTATATATATATATAAAACATCAAGGAATAAAAAGTTTCATTTAATTGAAACGTGAAGGTAAAACAATAACGAAGGGAATCTTATTTATTAACTGATTACGTACGACTCATTATTATTGTTATTAGTATTTATTATTAATATTAATATTTCTTATTTATTATTATTAAACAATGATGACGAAGACGACGACGACGACGACTGCGGTCTGACTTTGTTCCTTCTACTTGTATACTTGATGACTCTATCATCATCACCATCATCATCATCACCATTATTATTATTATTATTATTATCATAATTATTATTATTATTGTTGTTGTTGTTGTTGTTGTGCATTAGCTGGCTGTCGCTTGGGCGATCACTGCTTCTGTTGGAAATGTTTGAAAGTGAATCGCTGAGAATAATGGTCAAAAAGAAAGAAAGAGAGAGAGGAGAGAGAGAGAGAGAGAGAAAGAGGGAAAGAGAGAGAAAGAGAAAGAAAGATAAAAACTGAATGTGGACAAGTAAAGCGCTGATTAAGAAATTTTAATACGGACGAAAAACGAAGTAAACAATGAGCAGACAGAAATGTCTTTCACTCACATCATCTCATCGCCACCATCATTTCCACCACCGCCACCACCACCATCACCATCATTAGCAGCAACCACAACAGCGGGGCTGTCATCTATAGTATCTCCAGATTCAACGTCGCTTGAATCCCACGACAGCCTGTGGTGTTCAACACGGGCCAGCTGGTGAAACCTTATTATCTCTACCCCATCCTCATCGAACTCTCTCCTGTTGGTGTCAATCATCACCTGACCACCACTGGCAGACGTCGTTGACTCTTCATTCACGATTAGAGATGATGAGGAAAGAGGGGGCAAGTCGAGGAGAGAAGATGATGAGAGGAGAAGGTTGTCGAGGTTCTGCATGGTGGAGGGGTCAAGGTCGGAGGAGTTGATGTTTCTGTTGTTCGCCGGGTTCATTACCTGCGTTCGTTTGTTCGTTCTTTCGTTTGTTTGTATGTGTGCGTGTGTATGTGCGTGTCATCCTCACAATCATACTCGTCATTATCATTATGATGTTAATTCTTCGTCATCATCATCACCGGCGACAACAAAACATCATCATAAAAACTCACATGCAAACCAAAAGCCTTCAGGATGTCAATCTTGCAAATGGGGCAGGACCTTTGCTCCACCAGCCAGGGGTCAATGCAGGGCTTGTGAAACACGTGACTGCGAAATTAGGTCAGTTCAGGTTTAAAAATAGAACATGGAATAACAAAAAAGAGATCAGATAAGGTTACTGTGGCCAAAAATAGAATGTCAAAAATGAAACATTGATGAAGTCAAGTTGGAGTTGACCTTAAAAGAGCCATTTAGGTAAAAAATTAAGACGAAATAGTGAAGTGCTAGAGAAAATATAAAGTAAATTATGTGGAAATTGTGATGAGGTGGGAAGAAGTATTCTAAAAAATAGCTAGAGGCAATGATGTACCAGGAGAAAAGTACCAAACTGCGAAAAATTTGTGATGTGCCAGGAAGAGAAATAAAGCACAAGAAGTGATGTGCGGAAAAGGGGAAAAATAAATAAGCAAAGTTCACTTTTAAACTTTACTTACCGACAAGGCAAAATCCTAACGACATCTGATGGTTTGTAGCCCTCAATGCAAACTGCACACAAGTCACATCCAGTTTCAACATCCTAATTTTAAGAAAAGAAATTTCAATTTCGGGTATTTCAATTAATTAATTAATTAACCAATCAATCACCTCTTTGCTATGTATTGTCTTTAGGGGCATTTTTCCAATAGCTTTTTTAGCTGCTTTCATTAATCTCCTCTGAGAAAATAAAACAATGATACTATTATTATCCCTCTTTTATTGAACCCCTCCCCCACCTAATCACTAACCGACAATCTCTGCTTGGCGTATGTATACCTCGATCTCTGAACATAATAGAACACAAGCCAGGCCAGGGAGATCATCATCAGAACCACAAATGATACAGATAAGAAGAGCATGGATGTTTTGTTGACGGTATTACCAAAGAACTGAGTTCTTTTCACCGGGCCGATCGTTATTTTTATGTCGATTCTGTTGTTGTTGTTTGTGGTGCTGCTACTGTTGAAGTTTTGATGATGTTGATGATGTTGTTGATGTTGATGTAGCAGGCGGGCTAAGTGGTCCGCTCTTGAGTTCAAGATGAGGATTTGAACAGGATCTGACAGCGTGAAACAAGTTGTTCATCATCATCACATAAGTATATGAATATTCATTTAATCTTTATCATTATCCACACCATCATCATCATCATCAGTTTCCTCACCATAATCATCACCTGTAGTTTTGCTAGTAGAACGAAACTGCTGTGCAAAAACATCACTATGATGTATTGAATCCAGGTTGTATATCAAGAGAGCCGATGCATTCCTCAATATATTTGGGCCAGTTGTCATCATGGCTGACGACATTTTCCTCAGAAGATCATAACAGGCCCGCCCATCAATCAGCGCCACCCATTTTTCATATGGATTAGGAATTAGGCGGCCATATTTGCTCTGAGTTACAGAAATGTTTTGCAAAGTTGGAATGGCTGAGAGTGGAAAACTAAAAAGGAAAAAAAATAGAAGAAATAACAAAACAACAAAAACTCTATATACTTCAATCTTTAAAAAACAATTAATGAAAAACAAAATGGTGAATTATTGAAAAAATAAAAAAGTACCAGATTTCTGTGGAATTAACTTTTACTAGACGGCCACTCTCGGCATCAACTCTACTGTTGACTCCATAAGTTGCCATCTCATCCATTTCATTCTGCCATCCATCTTTTGTCTTGTAGGTTATATTAAGCACAGCCCCATAAATACTAATCCCTCCTGATTCATATTCATCACCTCCTAAGCTTGGGCCAGACACCAAACTTGGTCCACCACCAGCAACTCCAGTTGCCATAACAAAGCTACTAATTGCATGAAATAGGCAGAATTTGATTAAGCAGAAAGTGACGTTTGGAAAATTTTTTGATTTTGGTGATTGATTTTTGTTTGTGTAAATTGTACAAAGTGCAAATACAATTATTATTAATTTATTGTTATTCATAATAGCTATCACTCAAGAATTGTAATATTGTAATAACTCAACTGCTAAAAATTGCAGTAGTAATAAACTGTGAACATTTTTATTTATACTAAAATCTTTTTATCATTTAATCTTTTAATCATCTTTTAATGATTTAATTTAAAATTTTAAGCATTTAATTTTAATTTAATAATACACTTATACTATAAGTTAAAAATTATAGTCTTATACTTATACACTTATAGTTTATACTTTAAAACTGAACAAACACTCACTATCCATTTACTGATTAAATATTCAGATATCGCCGAGAAAAATAAATGAGATATCTTCAAGTTTAAATATTTTAATGCCCAAAAAATGACGTAACGAATCTTAATTTTAATGAACAAACAAACATTTTATAAAAAAAAAATTTTTAACGTCCTGGGTGTCTTTTAAACTTAAATTACACTTTAAATCAAGATAAAAGCTAAAGCGCTTAATAGTTAGTTGTATCAGCTGGAAAATGATGCACACATGCATACATGTGTCCTCTGCTACACAGTTCTCCTTCCCATATTTGTCTAACCTTCTCATTTTTTTCCATTCTATAAGTTATTGGCATGGAAAACACAAAACAAAACACACGAACTAAATTAATAACCAACATCGTCTTAATAATTTCGTCTGCTGTTGATTTTTTTTTCAAAAAGAGGTAAAGCAAAAAAATAAAAAAAGCCAAAAAAACCGTTACAAAAATTACCTAAAAAACAAAAAATAAAATATTGCGCTAAACAGTTAACTAAAATAAAAGAAAGAATGCACATTTAACGAAAAATATAAGAAATTGTATTAATCAAAATAATTAAATAACTTAAAACTAAGTCCTTTATCACAATGCTATCACCACCGAAGGTACTAAATTCAACCAAACAGAGGAAGCTTACAACATACATACACAACACACATACAACAAACATACTTACACACACAAACACCCACACATATGTGCATGCATACATACATACATACATACATACAAACAAATTTGATCGGCAAAGATTGACTGAAACGAGAGAGAGAGAGAGAAAAAGTGGGAGAGAAAGAGTGAGAGAGAGAGAGAGAGAGAGAGAAAGAGAGAGAGAGAGATAACCAAGTGAACGAACATAATATTACACAATAAAAGTTAAATGGAAAAATGGCAGTAAATATAAAATACATGTAAATTATAAAACGATATATACACACAAACATACACCCACATACACACATATACACACCCAAACAACACACACCACACACATTCCCACTCACACCCACACACACAGGTGGGCATGCACGAATAAAAATATTTTAGAAAGGAATTTAAGATATTGAAATAATGAGGAAACAATTATGAATGTATCGGAAAAACATACGCGTATGTGTATATATAAGTGCGTGTGTATGTGTGTTCAAATACACATACACACACAAACAAACGAAAAATATATATACATACTTACATATGAATGTGTTTCATGAGTATATGTATGTGGGCGTTACTTGGGAGCCAAGTGGAACCATCTTGATGAGTAATATACAAATGTTTGTTTGTTTGTATGTATGTCTGTTTGTATATTTCATTGTTTGTATGTTTGTTTGTACGTGCGAGCGCGCGTGCGTGCACTCGTTATTATCTTCATTATTCGGATTTTGAACAGTAAAAATAGCAACCAAATGACTAGTATATATTTATATCATTAAATGAATTTATTATTGATAACATAATAATTTCCGCATATATATATATATATATATATATATATATATATATAGAGAGAGAGAGAGAGAGAGAGGGGGGGGGGGGGTGGGGAGAGAGAAAAAGGATTATGACAACATTATGACAACGTGCTGACATCATTTTTTGTATTCATATCAAAACTATTCAATATTGGAGATGATGAAATTTTTTTAATTTTCTAATACATAACTAATGATTGAATTGTTATAATCCTAAGAAATATTCTGTAGTATATGTATGCATGTATGCCCACGTGTATTTATTTATGGGTGTGTGTTTCTGTATGTGTGTATGTGTGTGTGAATATGTGTGTTTGAATATGTGTATAAATATGTTTATAAATGTATATAAAAATTGCCTAAGGTTAATATAGAATGAACAGAATGAACAGAATAGGCATATGACAAAATAAAATTTGAAAAAATAATCCTATATAACATAGAAAAACAAAAAAACATACAAACACTTACATACATACAAACAGACATACATACAAACAGACATATATACATACAAACAAACAAACATACATGCGTTTAACAATAAAATGTGTGACGTTTATTTAATGCCTGTAAATATATTAAAGTATATATATAATAGATATGGCTTATAAATTTGATTTAATTTAAATAGACAGTAACTAGTAGAAATAACCGAAAATAAATTAAAATTACAATAAATAAAATACATAATAAATAAATAAATAATTCAATTTATTAATTAATAATAATACTAGCAACATCGATAACAATACATTTTAAATCATAATAAAAATAATGATGGTGGAAAACACATTAAAATGTATGTATGTGTGTATGTATGTCTGTATGTATGTATGTAGGTTTGAATGAATGTATGTATGTATGTATGTATGTATGTATGTATGTATATATGTATGTATTTATGAATGTTTTGATGGCAAATCTAATTATACTGAATGTTAAATGTTACTATAAGCTCACTATAAACTATATATATATATATATAAGCTCATATATAAACTATATATATATATATATAAATATATATGAATATATATATATATATATATATATATAAAGATCACTACGTGCCGAAAACGAAGATTGATTGATTAATTTATGACAGTCTAAACCCTATATATATATATATATATATATATATATATATATATATACACGAAGCAACCCAATACATTTATATATATACGTGTCTTTGTTTGTGCTTATAAATTTGAAGATTCAAATAAACCAAAATCAACATCTACAAAATGTAAATGCGTATGTATGTATGTCTGTATGTATATATGTCTGTATGTATGTATGTATGTTTGTTTGCATGTATGCATGTTTGTGTGTGTGTGTGTGATACTATAAACATATGGCATACAATTTCTCTAACAATAAATACTGTTAAATTGTTTATTTCAACAACAAAAAAATTTCAGTAAAACGAACAAATGTAGAAAATGCTATAAAAAAATTCTTATATTTTAATCCTCAAGCAAAATAAAACAAATAACAAATTTTCAAAGAACAAAGATTTTACAATTATTTTGCGTTTTTTAACATTTTTTTCACTTGAATTTCGATTTTTTTTTTCAATTTTTTTTGATATCTATGGCTGACTGAGTAAGTTTGATGGCGAGAGGACAACATTTTGTTCAACCGTAGTAGGAGTAAGATAATCAAACGCCGAAAAATTAGTGTCGGGGGTAGTTAGGAAATCCACAGATGATGACGTTACAGGCGTCCTCAAAGTGTCGAAATTGAAAATGTTCTGCTGCTGCTGTTTTTGTTGCTGCTGCTGCGTATTCACTGTAGTAGATGTCGCCACTGTCGATATGACTGGCAGTGTCTGTGGCCTGCTAGTTGCAATAATGCTGTTGTTGCTGCTGCTGCTGTTGTTTGTGGCTATTATAATGACTTTCGGTTGTTGGAAATGTTGTTGTTGTTGATGTTGTTGTTGCTGCTGCTGCTGTTGTTGTTGTTGCAATAGTGGGTTTACTATACAGAGAGGAGCCGTTGGTTTAGGCTGTGTCAAGAGAAGTGACGTGCTAGGGATGATAACGTTGGTGAAGCTGGTAACCGAAAGAGCAGCCACTGTAGTAGCTGAAGTAGCAGCTGAAGTTGATTTGGATTTATTACCATCAAGCTGTTGCTTTAATTTTGCAGTGCATAATGGGATATGACTCTGTAGGACTACTTCTAACTTTTGCTTCAACCTCTCCAAGTTTTCAATCTCTTTCTCCAGTTTACTGCCTTCTTGCTCAAGTGATTTTGTCTCCTTTTTTTGAAAGAAAGAAAGAAATAATATTATTATCATTTTTAGAAGTTAATTTATAATAAAATGATTAATATTTATTCATTAATGTTTAACAAAACTCATGACATGACCATACGCAGACATCTCACAAAGTTACAAATACACTAAGACAAGTATACGGATGAATGAATAAATTATGCAAATGAAATGTGTAACACTAATTTGACACTGACATTGATTAGTTCGTTTGTCTGGTCGACTCTCCTCTGCCTGCACCTGGCAGCCGCCTGCTTGTTCCTCTCTCTCCTTCGAGTTCTTCTCTGCATCTCTTCTGCTGTTAACTGTGTCGGAGAGAAATTTCATTTCAAATTATTTTACATAATTTTAAAAAAGTTATTTCTTACTCTAGACTTATTAGATTTCAATCTGTTATAAAATGAGATGGAAAAAACCACAAAAAATAAACAGAAAATGAGAAAAACTTATTAAAATC